TGTACTTGCAGGTTTCAAAGCTACATGCCCTGGGCTACCAACCAATTCTGTTTCTTGGACAGTTTGACCGTAAGGGCCGTATAGTAGGGGACATGATCATTCAGATCGAACCAGCGGAAGGTGCTGCACGTGACATCCTCATGAAGATGAGGAAGCTTTATGAACACCTTCTGAGAAGTAAGATGTGCTTTGTCCATTATCTGTAACCAGGTGTCCTTATCAGGTAGCCTATCCTAGCTGTCTTTGGGTGATACTCATGGTACACCCTAGATAAGAAGGCAGATCATCACGGGGTACATAGAGACAAACAAGATGGTGAGGATGAGGATAGTTAACAGTCACCAGCTATTCTATTCTACTCTATTCTGTTCTATTCTATTATTCAGCCAAGTTTCAGACCAGTAACCTTCTTGCTGTGAGGTGACAGCTGCCCTACATGTCCTGTTGCTAACATGAAAATAGTGTTATATCTGCCTTATTACCGCCCCATGTGTCGGTCACGTCACCAAAGCTAGCCATACTGAACCTCTGGTGTTACCCACCTGAACAGCTTTGTATGTGTGTGTGTGTATAGTATGGTCTTTCACACTCATGTATATACAAATGTAATTTTAAAAATCTTCACGAAAACCAGACCTGATAATTCTCTTCGAGACTTTCTAGTATAACAAATGTTATATAATGTTACCAATATGAACACCAAGATTCTTAAATAACTTATATACTTCTTAAGAGGTCACCTGATTACCTCCCTGAGGTCGTTAGCATCACCATTGTACAAAACTCCTAAGTCACAGTACTAGCTTGAAGTGTCAAATGTTATTCACTACAAAGTCAGGAAAGTAGTGTCATCAGAGGAAAAAGTCATTATCTATCTGGATTTATAGTCACACTCATTAATTTTTTAATGTACAATGTAGAAAAGCACTACAGATGTCACACTACCCCCGAGGGCACTTGTACTGAATTATTTGGGTCAGTGAGTGTGCGAGATGACTTATTTGATGCCAATATTTACCAGTTGTATCTTTAGTAAAAACTTAACTGAAAACATGCAAATCACTGCTTATTATGTGTTTATGTGTACTTTACATTTTTTCAACCCATTTTAATGAATGTTTAATATTTAAAATTTTTCAGAATTACAAGCTTCACCTCCTGCTAAAAGTTCTACACCAGCAGCTGGACCATCCTCTGCTGACAGTGTGGATGCTGGACCAGTCCCAGACCCAGAGGCTCTAAACCAGGAATTTATTCTTCATTTAGAGCCTGTACCAACATCTTCCCTCTGTCAGCCTCCTGCATCCTCCTCTTCATCTCTGCTTCCTCCTGCATCCTCCTCCCATCTCTGCTTCCTCTGCATCTCTCTCATCTCCTGCATCTCCTCTCATCTCTCCCTCCTGCATCCCCCTCCCTCTCCCATCTTCTGCTTCCTCCTGCCATCCTCCTCTCCATCTCTGCTTCCCTCCTGCATCCTCCCCTCTCCATCTCTGCTTCCTCCCTGCATCCTCCCTCTCCATCTCTGCTTTCCCTCCTGCATATTCCTCCTCTCCATCTCTGCTTCCTCCTGCATCCTTCCTCTCCTGCATCCTCTTCCTCCTCTCCTCTTCTTCCTCTCTATTCTCTCCTCTTCTTCTCCTGCTATTCCTCTCTTTCTTGCTTCCTCTGCATCCTCCTCTCCATCTCTGCTTCCTCCTGCATCCTCCTCTTCATCTCTGCTTCCTCCTGCATCCTGCTCTCCATCTCCACATCCTGCATCTCCCTCAATTTCTACGGTGTACACCTCGGATGTCCCAAACAAAAAAAGGACAAGGAAAGGTTAGACGTTATGGTACTGTAAATGTACGAAACACATGACAGGTTCGTTAAGTTTGTTAAGATTTCTTTTTCTTAATTTTTGCATTTTTTCCAGTTTTACAGAACTCATGTAAATATTTCATTTGTTATTTTTCAGAATGCCGAAAACACCGTACACAGAAGATTTTCAAATATGAAGAGATAGTAGACAGGAGAGTTGAAAATGTAAGTAATTTAGCCTGCTGTTGTGCAGATTTGTTTGCGTCTTTGGACTTCCCGGATTTGAACTGTGCCTGACTGAATATCCATAAGCTTTTGTATTTGATGAATCTACACTAATTCAGCCACTGAGTCAGGATTTCACTCCAAATAGGACATTAAATAAGAACAGACCACCTGATACGACCTGGTCGTGCTGCCTTCCTGATGTTTACGTTCTTTAAAGTCCTCCTGACATCATGCTCAGAAGGAGTGATTGATGTGGAGGTGCTCCTTCCCATTCAGTAACATCTGCTTCAGTTAGTTTTGCTTGTGAGCCACAATGTAAGCAGTGTTGCTTTGCTGACATGCACTCGATGCTGGCAGTACAAGCATTGTAGTGGTTCTTATGTTTTGTAAACTAATTGTATAATATATTGAGCCATTCAATAGTACACAAATGTTTATAAGCTCCTTTTTGTATGCAACTTGCATGTCTTTCTTAATTAATTGTTTGTTTATATCATGTTTTTCAGGAAAAAGAAGAAGTTAAAGTCAAGTGGAAGCCCTGCTCAACATGGTATGTAGTAACAACTTTGTTGGACGGGAACAGACATTCATATTGTTGATAAATAGTTATCAACTCAATTTGAATTCATGTATTTGGACTAAAGTAAATTGGGAGCTTTTAGCTATCGAGCTCCTCTTCTGTGAGGAGCTTGATAGCTGTCCACCTCCAAAGTCCATTATGAGTTTTGGACGTGGACATGGTCAACACTTTTAAGAGTAGGCATAAGACTTTACTTCTTTATAGAGCTTATAGTTAGGGCTGGTTCAGCTCAGCCCTTAGTTATGCTGTAATAGGACCAGACTGCTGGGGGTTAGTGTCCCCCCCTCTCTCTCTGTCTCTTTCAGGGTTATGCAGGCTCAGTATTGGTTGAAGATGCAGTCACGTCTCCTTTTACTGAAAACTCTCCCCCTCTCCCTCACCACCATCTGTAAACATACATGTCTCAGTAATGCAGTTCATGCATGTTACTAACTAAACTTCTTCCCTGGAGTTTCTGTGCTCTCTCATCCAGCAGGTTCCAATGGATCGTGGCTGCTGCTGTGGTCCTGCTTGACATCTACTACATATATTAATACTCTCTGACTTGATTTGATTAATTTATATTACAATGAAGGTGTATAAAGCATGACATGAATATAGAAGATATTTCATCCTAAAAAATTGTCATATGTCACAACCTAAATTGTCCTATTTTGTGTGTGGTTGTCGTTGTTGTTTGTTATGTTTTTCTCCTGACAGTGGCAAAGTGTGGGATGACACATGGGAACCTGTGCAGTTTTACACACAGTAAACCAGGCACCACAGGTGGCAGAGATCGCACAGTTCACAGCTTGTAGTTCAGCATAAAAGTTCAAAATAAAATATTTACTATACATTTCAACCAGTGTCAGTCTCTGTTTCACTCTCTAATTGTGGCTTAAGTACCTAACACATTCATGAATCTGATCGATCAATAATATCTTCCCTGCACTCGACATCTCATAGTTTTACATATCAGCCAACATTATTGTCTACATCCTCATAAATATAGAAGTGACTTGCTTATTATAACATATTACAAGGTAAAGTAATACTGCACTGCACGTATAGTAAGTAACACCTACTGTGTATGGGAGCCTAAAGCAAAGTTAACTGCACCAGTACCAGCTTCAGAACATATTGTATATTATATGTTTCTACCTTTTTGTAATATGTCATGTTTAGATGCAGTGACAATTGCACATTTGGAGTTGTGGTCATATGTGGTCTTTATATACAGGGTATTAAAAAAAATTGACATTTTTTGCTATTTTTCTTGTTTGTTTGCACAATATTATTGTGTACATATTACATATGTAACATTATTGTTAATATTATTATTAGATATCAAAGATACAATTTGATTGAGGGTTTTCCTGTCATAATTTCAATAAAAAATGCAATTACACACGTAAACAATAGGATCAAAATAAACTTTTAAAAAGTCTGTTGATCAAATGCTGATTTTCAAAACATTCTAGAGGAAAACAGAGATAAAATAATCTGAACAGTAACAGTGATCTTGGATGATGATGGAGGCTTCAATGGATTATTCTGTTTCAATCAATAGGTTCGTATCTATGACAATAATTTGATAAGTTTAACAGGTTGGTTTAGGCCTGGCAATACAGCAAATATTCACAAACTTTTGTTTTTGAAGAATGTTTATCTTTTTTGGGATGAAGCTATCTGGCAAAATGAGACAGCCCTTTAACCTCATCTGTACGTCTATCATGTGGCTATGATACTGGATTTTGGTTTGATGCATATGCAGGTTACAGCTGGGGAATGGCAGTATGTTGTGGATTGATTTGGCATGTTCAACCACTGTTACACCAAACTCTCTCACTTATAACATGATAAAGGCCTCTTACTCAGTGTCATGGATTTTCTATACTTTTGGGGACACAGGGCCAAAGTCTGAGGCAATAAGTCAGATCAAAGAAGGCATGATTCTAAAATGGGAGTTTACTTATGTCATTAATATATCCAGGAATATGTGACTGAGGATAGTTGTCATGAAATCAATATTAAATCAAAGTATTCCTTAATTACCACAGCTGACACGAGTTCTCCAAAGCTGCCCGCCTGCTCAGGATCTGTCTCCAAAAAGGACCAGGGAGCGCTAACATGTTATGTTCTAAACTGATGAAGAAAATGCACATTAAACATAATATAAACTTACTGAGTGAAGTAATGTCAAGAGGATTCCTTTAGCTCCTATTGGGTTGGTTCCTTGATCAATGCAATACAGAATCATTAATCTGGTTTTATGTAATGTCCTCAAAACATGTCAAATGAGGCTCACTAGTCTGTGTGGCCTCCACATGCCTGTATGACCTCCCTACAACACCTGGGCATGCTCCTGATGAAGTGGCAGATGCTCTCCTGATGGATCTCCTCCCAGACTCCAGGACTAAAGCATCTGCCCACTCCTGGACATTTTGTGGTGCAGTTGGTGGATGGAGTGAGACGTGATGTCCCAGATGTCCTCAATTGGATTCAGTTCTGGGGAATGGGCGGGCCAGTCCACAGCATCAATGCCTTCGTCTTGCAGGAACTGCTGACACACTCCAGCCACATGAGGTCTAGGATTGTCTTGCATTAGGAGGAACCCGGGGCCAACGCACCAGCATATGGTCTCACAAGGGGTCTGAGGATCTCATCTCAGTACCTAATGGCAGTCAGGCTACCTCTGCCGAACACATGGAGGGCTGTGCGCTCCCCAAAGAAATGCCACCCCACACCAAACTGACCCACTGCCAACTCATGCTGGAGGATGTTGCAGGACGCAGAAGGTTCTCCAGGCGTCTCCAGACTGTCACAAGTGCTCAGTGTGAACCTGCTTTCATCTGTGAGGAGCACAGGGCGCCAGTGGCAAAGTTGCCAATCTTTGTGTTGTCTGGCAAATGCCAAACATCCGTCACGGTGTTGGGCTGTAAGCACAACCCCACCTGTGGACGTCGGCCCTCATACCACCCTCATGGAGTCCATTTCTGACCGTTTGAGCAGACGTGCACATTTGTGGCCAGTTGGAGGTCATTTTGCACAGCTCTGGCCTTTCTTTCCTACCCCACAGTACCTTCCCTTACCATTTGTTTCCTACTCTTTTACTTCTTCTTTGATGACGGTTGTCTTTCTAGATAAGCAATTTCATTTGCTCTGGGGCGAGTCAATGGCTCGGGTGCATTCTGGGACTGTCAGTTCACCAGTGTGCTGGCATGCTTCTTAACAAACACACCACTACAGCAAACATCTCAATTGTACTTGTTGATTTCTTCGACAAAACACTGAACAAAAATTTACTTGTGAGTGTGCTGCCTGGTGCTTTTAATTTTGTGATAATTTGAGCAGCCCAGAAAGCATCCCATGAATTAAATTATGTTATCGTATCTGAACATGTACACTAGTCATTAAATTAGATGGGAAAGAATGATTCAGGGTAAACAACTGCACCAAGGGAATTCCATTTTTCTTCTCAAAATGTAAAATGTCTGTTGAAAATCACATTGAACAGAGATGTGATTACTTTTTATTTTACCAAACATAACATCAATGATGACACAGTCTTCATCAGAAGTGCTCAAATCACTCTCAGTGGCATCGTCTGGAATGTCCTCCTCCTCCTCCGAGTCCATTTCCAGGAGTGGTTGGTGGCTGAGGATTCTCTTGTACACGTCCTTTACTTTGAGCATTTCAGCTTTCAGTTCACTTTGTTTTTTTAAAACCAGGCTACAGAGTCCCTTCTGTGCATCCTCCGACATGCCAACAAAGGGAGGCTGTAAAAAAGAACAAACAAATAAATATGAGAAAAGTAAAAAAACAAACAAAAAACCTCACCTCATAAACACAAGGAATAGGATGCTGTAATTAAACATTTCTTTAAAAGGGAGAAGGCAGTGTTAGCTAGCAATCTAGATATAGGTAAAAGATCAGTAAGACTTTAGCATCTGCTCTTATTTTCAATCGATTCATCAAAAAATTAATAAATAAATAAAGTGCTTACAGTCTGAGGAGATTGTCCCCAACACCACAGATCGCATTCGCAACACTGTCCAGTGATGCTGCATCTCCCTGCAAAGGATCATCTCCTCCTCTCTCAGGCGCCTCACAGCCATCACCTTCTCAAAGACCTTTCTCTTTGTCCGGAGGTCAGCAGCAGCTACAGTTTAACAACATCAGATGGGAAACATAGCAGCATATTATGATTCAAGAACAAAACATTCACTACTGCTCAGATACTGGGAGTTTGTTAAAAAAGGATATTTAGAAATCAAGAGCTTACGTTCACTTGTGCTCTGCCAGGGCCAAATATCGGTCTGCATGAGGGCATCACTGGATATGATTTGCTTTGTTGGTTCAGCGAGCTTGTTGTAGTCGTCAACAGCAGCCGCCAAGCGTTTCTTCTCAACTAAGATGACCTTGCGAATTCTGTGTCGCCTCTTGTTGCCATCTGTAAATAATCATAAAAATTCACACCTTCACATAATGTATATAGTTTTCATTTTAATCTACACTCATCAATTTGTTTGCTAGAACAAATCACATCCAGCTTAAACAAACCTGGATCTGATTTTATTCTGTTTACAAAGTAGCTGCACAAGCTGTACAAACTGAGCATCAAACGGTCCGTTTCAAAGAAACTGTGACACCATTTTGTCTGTAAAGACTTTGTGTTCGCACTCTGATGATGACGACAAGCTCATCTACTCGTGCCTGCAACGCTCCAAGGCTGCCATCAGTTTGATCACTTTCTAAGTGAGAGGAATATTAATCAGAATACAGGATGAGTAACAGTCACCAAACTACAGTGGACTCTGTAATCACTGACTTGATGACATTCATTATAAGACATCTGGAGCCTTCATGTGCTGCTATCTCATGATAATCATGAGATAACAAGTATGTTGGTGTTCAGGTTTATAAAACCAACTAGTACGGCATCATTTCAACCCAGGTTCTATCCAATTTGATGAAACGCAACAACTCTGGCATAAATTTGCTTTTACAAGGCTTATTTTTCATTGTTTGTTGACACTGTCAGAAAGATCTTAACTCTAAGTTCTTTAATGAGGCCATGGTGGGTCCTATTGTTATACATGAGTGCATTATATTGAGACTCACCTTCAGCCCATTGCTGCAGCGTGTCGTCATCCACACCCAGCTCATTTCTGCTCGCATTCAGGCTCTCCACTTGTTCTCTAAGGATCCTTATGATCTAAGAATGCATCATAAATGTCATTCATATTGACATTAAAAGAGTACTGGTGTTTTCCCCCCATTACCACACACATTAAAATGGGTGTTGAAAAAATGACCTTTAGATATCTCTGGCTCAAAGTGCGGCCCAGTTGTTCCACTTTCCTTTTGTTCCAGCCCAAAGCCAGGAGGCTCAGCATGTCTGTTCGCCCTGCATTTCAGTTAGTATACAAATTAGAATTAATGAGCAGGAGACTGAGTGGAATCTCAGACACGGACACACACCTGCTTTAGACATGTACTTCGTTGTGATGGCCGCCCTAGACAGGAAACTGTTTACTTGTTCCACCTCTTCTCCAACTGTTGAACCGGCCCCATCCTGAAACGCACCTCCCCATTTGATCTATAGAAAGGAGGTCACAATACATGACTGCTGAATTCATTCAACCTTATAACAAAATGTCTCAAACTAATCCAAAACTACAAGCTGCAGTATACCTCGCATTTCCAAGTGTGAGCCTTTGCATGCATGACGGAGAGAAAAGGACGCATTGACAAAAGGTTCCTCAGCTCAGGGCACTGCTGAGCCACCTTGGTTAAATAGGGGAAATATTTACAGGCCACATCGGAGCAAAGGAACGTAATATGTCCTGGGACGTTAGCTGCCAACTTCCTCTGGAGAAAAAGGGTGTAAGCAAAGATCTCCCCTCGAAACATGTTCAATGCAGCTAAGAGGACTCCGTGGCGACAAACAGCTATTTCCATGCCCTCCTCATCCAACTTCCCAGTGGACTTTTTGGACGACTCCTTTGCTGCAGTCCAAGATGAAGATCCGCACAACCCTTTCCCCGGGACCTATACACTCAAAGATTTTAACATAAAAGACATGACATGATTAAGCCCTATCAGGGACAAACTTTTTAAAACAAACGCATAACAATTAGCTGAATTAGCCTCGAGTCACACAAGACCTCAGATCTCCCCAGGACAGCACTGATAACACAAAATAAAAATCATGTTGTTTTTTTAAATACACATGGTGACAAAATTAAGTACACATTAAGATAAAGTAAAGTAAATGGTATTACGACAACACCAAGAGAAAAAAAAAATATCGACCCATCCATATATGTCCCCACACACACACACACACACACACACACACACACACACACACACACACACACGTATGTGTATATGGTTACGGCATTAACGTCATTTTAACAAGATTAACAGCACTAATATATATGTGTATCTTACATGATTTGTGTGTCTCTGGATGTATTTCACAAACTCAGCAACTTCCTCATCTTTTTCAATGAAGACACCTTCAAAGTTCCCCTGCTCTGAAGTGCTGAACGAACACAGTGACAGTTGTTTGAAAAGAAACATTAAAATACATTTTTCTACAAATCCATATTTGACTTATGTACACAATGCATAACGTACCTTGCATTTGATTGAAAGCGATAAAGCTTGCGGTTTCCATCAACTGAGACGGCAAGCATGTCTGGAGTGCAGGCAGGGCAGCTAAAGCATGGCTCCTTGCACATCCTGTCCACCTCAAACTTTACAGCACTCCACTCCAAGAAACTTTTACTGAAGGCATCAGCTGATATTCGGCCATTCTTTTACATAGAGGACATACAACAGAATATTCAAGGACAGTCATCATAAACATTGATTTGCACAATTTCCTTAAACTTAGCAAATTTAGAAACTCACCCTTCCAGAATGGGCTGTTCGTTCATCCAGCATTTTGACAAATGCCTTAAGTGACATCCCTGCTGCAGCCTTCTTAATGTCATAGAAAGACTGAAAGACATCCATTGAAAACAGGGTGCAGAAATTTAAGGTGCCAGGCCAAGATCCACTACCCAGGATGTCTTTAACTGAGGGGGACCACATTAGGCCACAGCTGGTGCAGCTCACCACTGGCAGTGCAAGGTTATAACGGCCTTTAGAAAGGATAAGGATAAATTCAGTCATGGCTCAAAGCATTCATTTTTTTCATGTTGTTTTCAAATTGGTCTGGTAAATCCAAATGACCTTTGACAGGTGCCCACATATACTGCGGGCCGAGGGTAATTAAAACCAAGATAGCAATGCACAATTTGCAATAAAACCTCCAAACACATCTATTGTGTATGTAGCGTGTGACAAAAGGGCAACTTACCATTTATGGTTACAAGAGCCACAATTGCGCCGGGTGAAACCTCAACGTTACCTGCTGGGCAGTCACACACATGGTCTGGCCTTTGCACAGGCAACAGCCGAACTAACATTAAAACACACAATATATATAAAAAGAATTAGAAATTAACTGATACACAATAAATATACAATAACAGCACCCACTCATACTCATACATAGCAAGAAATGCATAAGACTTAAAAACCGTACCTATTGGCTTGTGAAACTCTGATGAAGGCTGCAAAAACCCTCCTGTTACTGCCTCTCTGCTGTGCAGGACAACGCGTGTGTGAACTGCAATATCACAGTCAGCACAAACAAATGGAAAAGGCAGGCAGTCCAGGCACCTCACAACTACTTGTTTGCCACACTGGCACACACGGTGTGACTGTGGATCCAGAGTAGCTAACATATTGTCTATAAGACAAGGCCTGGCCTCTTTCCACTTTTGCGAGGACACCATATTTCTGATCGCCCAGTGAGTAGCAGCTGACTCAGACGACGTCTCACAAGTCATGGCTGCGTCCTCTTCTCCATCCTCCAACAACTGAAGGAGCTCCTGACGAAGCACCTCAGTTCCACACACTAACAGAAAAAGAAATAAAGAAAGGAAGAAACTCTTCCACAAAGTGAAAAACACCCTAGGCAGTATGTTTCTTAGGACTCCACAAAAGCCCTGCATAACTCAACTATAACAACAAATATAAAAGTAAACAGAAATCACAATATATACAAGAAGGTAAAGTACCTTTTGTTGGGTTGACACTGGCAACATAACCAGGTTCTTCACGTGGACATTGATGCTGCTCTCTGGACACGGGGGGGGGGGGGGGGGGGGGGGGGGGGGGGGGGGGGGAATGAAGAATATTTACTTACTGAAATTCTTTGGTGAAAACAAGTTGTGAGATAAAATCAATGGTTGTGTGAACACTGACCACGTGGCATGCAACTAGTACTTCGACTGGTTGATGGTCTTTGAGGAATAAAAGCTCCCTGTCTGTCACGTGTTTTCCAGCGCACTGGTCTTGGCTGAGGTTCACTCTGTGCATCATTCTACGCAATTAACAAGGAAAAAAGGGAACACCTAAAATACAGTCTATGACTAAAGCAAAGATTATCAAACATCTTAAGTTAACCAACTTAATTTGACATAAACTTTAAAAAAAATTCAAATAACATAACGTTTACTCCGTACAAAATATTAGACAAGCGTGTTCCCTCTTTAACAACTGTTTCCACTAAAAATGTTACCTGCATATCTTGAAGGAGTTCGTCAGCAGCCTGAAGCTCTTCCTCCAGCTCGGGATCCTCTGAATCACTCATTTTCAAGCTAAAGAGGAAAGAGATTTTTGCAGAACTCAGTGACATAAACACATAACTAACGCAATTCAAATGATTTTCAGTCTTGGCGCTCCGGTTAATGTTAGCTATTAACGTTAGCATCATCAGTTTGTAAAGAGCTAGCAGAACTCTTAGCGCAAAAACTGCTTTACGCACCATGTGAGGGTATTTTGCAGCACACAAGTCCTTTAACGTTTGTAATAGATTTAATCCATCATCGTTGGATTAAATGGCTAATGCTGCAGTAGACACGTGTAGTCGTTACCTAGCAAGCATGCTGACGGTAGCTGTGGCCATTTTTAAATACATTACACCGTTTCCGAGCTCAGTCACCTCTGTTTGTTTGAAGCTTTTATGAAAAACTAACTTTGAAACACACATCAAGGTATTACTTTAAATATATGTATTTTTTACATACCTGCATTAGAATCAATCAGTTCCGCCTCATTTTCTTATTCTTATAAATGGGTCTCTCCGTTCTCCCATCAGCCTTTGCTTACACAGGTTGCGTCTGATTGGCTGGAGCTGAGCGCATCCAAAACTAACAGGAGTGGTGAATGAATCTATAAATGTGTTTTACGTGTGAAATGAAAATAATAAACCTAACAAAGGATTATGTACGTTAAATCTGCGCACTTTCAGATCGTGAATCAGTTTGGAAAACACTGTGTGATGGCCACAACATGAAGCCATTTTATTGTTGAATTATCAGTGATACTTTCACGTGTTTTTGTTGAGAAATGTTAACGATGTCATTAAACGAAAGCATTAAATTAGGGAGAAAAACCCGTTCGCGGAGAGGGTCCCCGGTTCTCCAGTTAGATTGTGCTTCACGGCGTCATGTTTCGCCGTGACGGGGTTATTATTGGAGTAAATGGATGGCTGGAGCCTCTGCTTGAAGCGTCTCTGATCGCCGCGAGCGGGTTCATATTGGAATGAATTGACAACCCACAGCGTAACATAAAAACGTGGAAGGGTACCTTAGGCGTCAGCATGAGAAGTTAAGGGACGTGACAAATCGTCATTATTTTACGCGTCGGGAGTGAGAACGGGTTGTTCATAACACACTGTCAGTTTTGGCCGGCGGTCATAGGTTCTGTGCAATAATATGACGCGAGACTGGAGTAAAAGACATCCATGGATTGGCACTTTATTAAAGACGGAGCATGATAACAGCACAAACACTAACCACAACTAAACAAAATGGCTTCCTTTTATACTCTACCTTTTCAGGTGAGCATCCGGAATAGCCCAAGTATGGGGGTTAACTAATCAACATGAAACATAACCCTCCACCCAAACAAACATACCATAACATTAAAGCACATCACAAACATATACATATTTCCAACACATACTATAAACAAACCAATAACATAAGCTTCACTCATTTCTATCTAAATTAAAACCCTCTTTAACCATACTCCCTAACCTGGCACACTGGTCTGCTCCAAGAGCTCTTAAACAGGTGATTGAGCCGCTTTCATTCTTTTGCTCCACATCCTGCAAGAAGCAACCAGGACAGGTGAGTACCTTTACAAGTTCTCATTTCACATATGTTTAGGTTATTGATAAATGATTAACTGCAAGCAGCTCTAACTTTGGCTCTTCTCCGACACAGGTAGGATGGCCAGTCCCACTGTCTCTTTTCTGTTACAAGCTGTCAATTTAATCGTATGTCAAATAACCTAATAAAAGACTCCATAAGAACTAATGTGTTTTCTTTATTACCGCATTTTAAATTCCCAATCCAACAATTTATTATTAACAATACCAACCAGGTAATGGAACCCCTGGTCTCCATTACACACACACATACATATAGGGCCTTGAGGGTGGGCACGTTAACGGCGTCCAGTGGACGGTCTGTGTATTCAACCCCTCCTCTGGCACCGGTGCCCACCTCTCAATTTTAAATCCATGTAGACATTGAGGATTCTCGGGAGGGGCCGTGCTAACACCTGCTGCTCTCTGGCAGCAGCACCATGCTCTCCTGTGTTTTAAATGCACCTTAGAACAACACGCAGAAACACTACACATGAGCGGGAGGAGGGAGGTTTGGGGTCTTCACACACCTCTGTTCTCTGCTGGCCATCGGGGCGGGGGGGCTGGGAGGAGGTATTGGCCGTCTGATTGGGATCTGGGATGTGGGGCTTCCCTGCTGCTGCGGAGCCTGGGGCGGTCTGCTTGCCTCCACCCCGGGGGAAAGGGTAACATCTCCTGGGTCTAGGTGGCATTTCCCCCTCTGGGGGCGAGGGTACCTGGACCTGGGGTATAGAGTTTGTTTGGGGAGTGTGATTGTGTGTACAGTGTCCATGTATGTCAATTCCTACGTTGGGCGAGTGCTGAGTATTTGTATATGTGTGCATGAGGGTGGGAATGCATGTTTGTGTCTGTGTGTGCCTGTTTGTCTGTGTCTATATGTCAGGTCGGGTCTTAGACTCCACCTCTCTGGGAACTCCCAGGCCCTCCAAGGCCTATCTCCCCTCACCACACTCCCTGCCAGTGACTGATGCCCTCAGAGGTCGGTGCGTTGGTGGTTCTTGGTGTTTGGGGCTGGGCACTCAGGTATGTACCAGCTCACTCCCAGTGACTACTTTGTGGGGCCTGGTGCCTGTTGCTCGGTCAGACCTCTTTCGGGGCAAAGGGGGCTCGGTTCACTCTGGCACAGCTGGCTGCCGGCAGAGCCAGCGGGCACGCCACCGCAGCCCCCTCTGGCTTCTGCTTCGTGGCTACTGGGTGACCCCTCGTCTGGGGATCCTCAGCTCTTCCCAGGATGGTGGCATGGATGCCCCTCCGGTGGTCCACCTTGGGCATTCGCACTCTGGGGCCTCTGGATGTCTGGAGGCTGGATCTCCTCCATGCCTGCTTCATGCCCTGGGGGATGGGGCTATGGCTCTCTCCATCCTCTAGCAGACCATTACATGGGGAAACCTTTTGAATACAAGCGCGCTGATCCACACAGGTGTGCACACGGGTGTTCACTGTCCATAAACATAAACTACACCTCTATTGGTGCTATTTCCCAGCACATTGTGCGCTGCCGGTCCTGCTTGCTACAAAACAACATTCAATATTTAGCATTTACTGCTGTTTACACTTAGCTAGATTAGCGTGATGGTGTTGTGTTTAGTATGTTGCTCTGTTGTTTTGCTTGTTTTCTTTTCTTTTTCTCTCTACAGCTGATCCAGGAGATTTTATTTCCCTTCTTTCTCTTTTTAAGTTTCCTTTCTCACTGTCCCTCTTCCCTCCTGTTTTTCTTTTACTTCATCTTTCTTTCTCCCTTTCCTGTCCCTCAGTCACAACTGAAAATAAAATAAATAATAACAACAAAGGTCGATCAAATGGACCAATACGGCAAGGCCGTGATGATCCATTTGGCAAAGTAAATCTGTTGGGTCTCCTTGTTGGTCTTCAGACAACAATTCTGACGGCTAAAGAACCAAATGGGACAGGAAAAAAACAAAAAACAAAACAAAAACAACCAAGTCCTTCAACCCTGTCACTACACGTGATCAGTTGTCTAAATGTTCTATTGATCACTAGCACGTTGGGTGTTTGTGTCACTATAGTGGTGCAGATGATAGGAAGCACATTAAAAAGGGGGAGAGAGGGTCTTGAGGAATAAGTTGAAGATATGCTTCCAGGTTACTTTGTTAAATTATGCTTTACTATCTTTCCCCATCCTTTTTACATGCTACTAGCTTCTGATGGGAAGGATGAATGGCAGTGATAATGAAAATGAAGACCTCTATACACTTTTGCAAGGAGGCCAATTTTATGTCATTTTGCATGAAGTCCAATTTTATGTCATTTTGTGCTTTGTGCCTACATTATCATTTGCTATGGAATAATACTATGCTTCTGCACTGTGGTAAGTCAGTTGAGCCATACAAAGCTGCAATTAGCCCAGCCCCTCTGGCTTGCTGACTCTGTGA